TCTTTCCCCCACTTTTCTTTCTTTGGCCCATTGAAATGACTGTGACAGAGGTTCGGCTGCTTGTTTGCAGTTCAGGTGGTCGCAGCTTCTCATTCCCCAGAAGCTTGAGTTGGCTCACAAAGAAATCCCCCACCACCACCACCTCAAGGGCCCATGGCACCGAGAGTCGTGCATCATCATTAGGGAAGTCGTCTTGCATGGAGGAGCCTCTGGGTTGGATGTTGGGCTGAAAGGAGCAGTCAGTCAAGGCCTGGGCTCAACCTGACAGACTCATTCATTTGAGCTTCAGTCTATTACAGCTTAGCCTGACCCCCCAGTCTGTTGCCCGCCCTGCATCGCTCTTGCTCGCTTTCTCTCTCTCTTTCTCTTTCTCTTTCTCAAGGTACACCATCGTAGCACCTCTGCCCTCTTTTCTTATTTCTCCTTGCCTGTTTTCCATCCCTTTCCCCTCATTTTCTCTCTTAGCAGGAAGTGGTTATTTGAAGTGACAGACAGATTTCAAGACAGATGCAGAGGTTCTGTTGCTATTCAAGCACATTAACACACACACACAGAGTAGGTTGAAGCTAGTGTGGCTAATATTTCACCTCCCTTTCTTAGTAACGATTTGGTAGTATTATATATATATATTTGTATGTATTTTAATGACGTGATTTTAAAGATTTTTCACCTAAAATGACACACAGTAGGTAGCTAATATTTCACCTACCTTAGTAACAATTTGGTAGTATCACTATTTTTTTTTTATTATTCTAATGATGTGATTGTAATGATTTTGGACTGACATGAAGGAGAGAAATGAAATTACATTTTTTTTAAGTGTAAATCAAACTGGTTTGAATCAATGACTGCAAATGCAGCTTGTGAATATCATATCATACTATGATAGTTACCTCTACTGGCTTATCACAAAGTTCTCAGCAATAATGTCTTTATTGCCATATTAAATATCCATTTAATCTTTAATTTCCTCTTTACTTTTATTGGCTCTAATTGTTTAGTTGACAATCGGCTTAGTTCGATATAGCCTCCATTCTATTTGCAAAATGTTGTGGCTTTTTTATAGACCTTGAGTAAGCTACTTAATTAGGCGTGGCTATTTTCTCTTTATTAGCCATGTCAGGCATGCCAAAGTATGCATTTTAAACAACTTGCCAGGAGACTTTTCTTTCATTTTGAATCACTTTTTGTTGCTTTCTCCCAGTCTTTCTCCTCTTTGTTACGATAAGCATCATTAAACAGTGTAATTTAATGAACAGACACTACCATACCTGAAACAGAAAACTTTAAAATAATATTCCCTGTGCATTTGCGGATGTCTTTAGCAAAATGTTCATAGCCATGCTTTATTGTAAATAAAACATAGCTGTTGACCAGTCAGTATAATGGACCGGAAATTAACACACACACACACACACACACACACACACTAATTGCTTGTGTATTCCCACTAAAAATACGACAGTGCTACACAAACTTCTGGAATAATCTTGTTCCATAGCAAACTGTGATAGCAGAATAGTTCTTTTTTTTTTTAAATCCATTGGTTTACGTAATATTCTCAACCTGGCATCCTTGCACACACTCTCTCTTCACATTACAGAAAAAAGCAGTGATGATCTGAAAACAACATCAAACATGTAAGCTGGAGCTTACCATTGAGATATTTTGCTCAAATGAAAGTGTACAACAGCCAGTCTGTTTTCTTTCACATGGTCACGTTTTCTTTTCTTTTTTTTTGTGCGTGCAATAATTTAGATGAAATTAAAACAACAACAACAAAATACAGTCATGATTATATTAAAAAACACACACACACACACACACACACACACACACACACACACACACTAATTGCTTGTGTATTCCCACTAAAAATACGACAGTGCTACACAAACTTCTGGAATAATCTTGTTCCATAGCAAACTGTGATAGCAGAATAGTTCTTTTTTTTTTTAAATCCATTGGTTTACGTAATATTCTCAACCTGGCATCCTTGCACACACTCTCTCTTCACATTACAGAAAAAAGCAGTGATGATCTGAAAACAACATCAAACATGTAAGCTGGAGCTTACCATTGAGATATTTTGCTCAAATGAAAGTGTACAACAGCCAGTCTGTTTTCTTTCACATGGTCACGTTTTCTTTTCTTTTTTTTTGTGCGTGCAATAATTTAGATGAAATTAAAACAACAACAACAAAATACAGTCATGATTATATTTTTGAGCAGTTTAACCATGGTGTATCCCTTGTATATTATACATTATTATTTACAGTAAACATAACATTTTAGTGTATTATAATAAAACATTTCCAGAAGCTTTAAATAGGCCTACATTGAGTGTAAAGGTGGAATGCATGACTATTACTTTGTCCTGTTGTGGTGCACGCTCACAAGGTTTCATTTTGTAATTAATTTTCTCACAATTTCCATACACTGCTCTGCAATGGAAGTTGCATTGGTCACTGTGGCTAAATGCATAAGCGATCATGCATAGAGTCTATCGAGTCTCGCTTGTGTTAGTTTTTGTGCTGCACATGTCACATGGAGTTGCTGCCTACAGTATGTTTCTTTTTTTTTATTCTAAAAGATCTGATGATTATGTCACAACACTATGTCCTTATAGACACTGCACAGGCCCTGACCTTTCTCTGTAAGGAACACAAGTTGTGTAGAGGTAAGGATTGTCTGAGTGTTTTCAGCCTTCCATTTAGTTGAGTGTACAACAGCTTGAGAGGCAGAAGAAATGCATTTTAAGGCTGTATGTTGATTCAAACAGCCCCAACTGCGCTGGTGCACTCACTCACTTGAGGCGACCTCTCCAAAGACCGCTCTGAATAACACTACAGCAGTGAAGCACACCTACGAGAGCTCTTCGCTTGGTCACCTGAAAAGGACTTTCCGTTCCAACACACAGTAAAAGCTTTGGTGTCTTTCACAAAGCAGTGCTTGTTTTTGCATCAGCATGAATGTAATGATGTTTATTACACTGATTGTGTAATACCCTCAGATTGTGTTCCAAGTTTGTTCCAAATGTTTTTAATTGCATCCTGATGTGTCAGGCTCTCACATTCCCACCTGGCGCTCTTATTGTTAGAATGGCATTTCCTTTTTCATTTTTAAAAGTGATGAATTCGAGATGACCCATCTGGGAAGGAAGAGGGCAGCATGAGGCTTCAGCTGTGGATTTGTGGCTAATGCAGAGTGCGGCAGGGTGATGAGGTCTCCTTATTCTGGAACAAGTGAGACTGGATTTGGGAATTTCATCATCGAATGACTGTTTGCCTTTTTATTCAAGAGAGTGGAAGTACAGCTTCAGTATCTGTTCATTTTATTCATACAGCGTTATAAGATATTGTGAATTAGGTTAACCCAGAATGAAGCTTTGTACGTGACCAGTATTACACTTCAGCTAGAATTTTGAGTTGGTTTATGGAGATAGAATGTAATTTTTTGTAAAAAATTATAAATTGTCCAAGAATTACACTTTCTCAGAAGAACTTCATGAGGCCGTCAAATAAATGCTTTATTATTAAGTGCAATTTTCTACTAGCCATTTCTATGTAATAAAAGTGGACAAGGCATTAAATTTAGTTTTTTGTCTGTTGTAAAAATGTCTTCAGAACTTTTTATATGAGCTTTTTGTGGTTTGCTCTAGTCCATCATTGTCTAACATCAGTCTAGTTACAGACATTTCTCAGGTAATGGAGGTTACTAATGTCAAGTTGCAGTTGGAGTTCAGTTTTGAGTGTGAAAAACACTGTATGAGTGTAATGGGCAAAACCAGCAGAGTGCACCTGAAGAAATTTGGTATTTAAAACTTGACGGTTTTAGACATGCTGTATTAGAAATGAAAAATCATCTCCCAATATGTCAATTCAATGTGCACATTTTCATTTTTGAAGTGTTTGAATATCTGCAATACATCACTGAAGTGCTCCCTGTTAGAATGCCATTAACAGATGATTTCAAAACATTTATGATAAATAATGCATGTGAATTAACTTTTTTTATGATGTTTATGAGATGTTGATACTCAAGTATGATGCTAGCATTGAATGCAATATTTTTCAGATAATGCATTATTACGTTCTCAACATACTTGTTTACATTTACTTAGCGACACAATGACAACACTTCTGTTGGGGAAGTAAAACAATGCTTTTACTGATACCATGATACCAATATATTTGTCAGGGTTTTGTTATTTGGTTGCTAAGGTGTTGGGTTGTTAGGGTTTTATTAGTGGTTTATAGGTGTAAGAATAGTCAGAAGAGCCCAACAACAAGTCTCTGATATATGATAAAAAAAAAATAAAAATAAAAATAATAATATTAATATTTTTTTGAGTATTTATAATATATTTTTCCACAGTAGTAAAATTGCAATACTTATGTCTTAATTGTAAGTACTAAACCAGGGGTGTCCAATCCTGCTCCTGGAGGGCCACTTTCCTGCATATTTTAGCTCCTACCCTAATTAAGCACACCTGAACCAGCTAATCAAGGTCTTACTAGGCATACTAAAAACTTCCAGACAGGTGTGTTGAGGCAAGTTGGGGCTAAACTCTGCAGGACAGTGGCCCTCCAGGACCGAGTTTGAACACCCCTGTGTTAAACCATCAAGCTTTTATTTTTTTATTTTTGAATACATTGAATACATTGGATCTGCTCATGTGTAAAATAACATGGTGCCTTGCTTCACTTTGAAACATGCAGCACCGTCTGTGGTGTGCATCCACAGTCTAACACGGGAAGTATCATTCATGTCTGTCCACATACTGGGTGTAATCGTTAGGGTTACTCCACATCTACAGAAGCTAATTAATTGCTGTATTTACTGCCCAAACTGCAAACCACCCTTCATCAAAACTCTCTTTTCCCTCAATACAGAAGGATACCAGAGAGAGTCTGAGGTATAGATTTACCTCACATCCTGGTGAAACAGTACAGAGCACCTCTGCGTTTCATCTTCCTGACAGAAGGATAGTGGATTGGTTTTGTGGCTGGAGGATTCTGCGTTCTCACACTCTGTCTTGCTTTCTGCTCGTCCTCCACAGGTTTTGTTTCCACTCTTTTCGAAAAATGAATCCTCTCCCTTCTCATTCATCTGTTCCCTCTCTCCCATTTCTGTAGACATGACAAGGGATTCTTCCACCCCCTCGGAAGGTTTCGCATCCTTTGTTGTTACTTTTCCCCTCACTCTAATACGTGTCGTGTGTGTGCAACAGTAACACACATGCATTCTTGCTGCAAGCGCATGGCAAACCTGGCCTGTAGGTGCTGCTCTGATCTCACTGTTTCAACCCTCATCCAAGAGGAAAGAAACAAAGAAAAAAGGGCAGATAGAAGAAAACCTCTTTCCCTTGGCTCCTTTGAAAGGCCTCTCCCATCATACCACACACACATACACACACTGTGATTATTCATTGAGCAAATGGCAGCCCACCAGAGAGCAGCTCCTACAAA